ACTAACCAGGTATCCGAGGAATTTACCTGATTCCACTCCGAAAACGCACTTTGCCGCATTCAGCTTCAGCCCATACTCCCTGAGGGTGGAGAAGGTATCCGCCAAATCTGTCAGATGATCACAACTCCGTTTGCTCTTTACCAGCATATCGTCTATGTAGACCTCCATGGTGTTGCCGATCTGCTTTTTGAACATCCGATTCATCAGTCTTTGGTATGTTGCCCCGGCGTTCTTTAGTCCAAACGGCATCACTTTGTAACAGTAAACTCCCTTCGGAGTGATAAACGCCGTCTTTTCCTGATCCGGGGGATAGAGAGGGATCTGATGATATCCTGCTCGGGCATCCAGGAAGTCCATTCGTTCATATCCGGCAGTGGCATCTACCAGCTGGTCCACCTTTGGCAGGGGGTAGTCGTCCTTGGGACATGCCTTGTTTAGATCTGTAAAGTCTACGCAGACACGCCATTTCCCCCCTTTCTTCTTTGCGCACACCGTATTAGACAGCCATTCTGGGAACTGTATCTCTCGAATGGCGTCGGCCTTCAGGAGTTTGTCGATTTCCTCGTTGACCGCGCTGGTGTGATGCTGGGCCATGCGTCGTGGCCTCTGTTTGACTGGCTTGTGCGACGGGTCAACATGCAGCCTGTGTGTGATTATCTCGGGGTCTACCCCCGTCATTTCCATTTCGTTCCATGCGAACACGTCTGTATTTCCCCTTAGGAACTCGATCATCTCCTCCTGTTCGGCTGTGGGCATCGAGGTCCCAACCAAGAAATACCTCTCTTCTTCTCCCTCTACCAAGGGCACCTTCCGGAGGTCTTCTACCGACCGCTCAGTTGGGTCTATCCGGGGGTCATCCATTCCTGGACGCCCGGACTGTAATTGCTATTTTTCCATAATCTCTTCCGGTGCTCGCCCCTTCTCCTGGCTGAACGCCCCGGCTCGAACGGCTGAATAAAAACAATTTTTCGCGGACGCTTGGTCCCCCCGGATCTCCATGATACCCTCTGGCGTGGCGAATTTTAATTTCTGGTGGAAAGTGGAATGCACCGCTCCCAACGCATGCAGCCATGTTCGCCCCATAATTACGTTGTAGGGAGAGTCTGTATCGATCACGACAAACTCGTTGTTGATGACGAAGGGACCTGTGACAACTGACAATGTGATTTTCCCCACGGGCAGGGCGAACGAGCCGTTGAATCCGATGAGGGGTGTCCTGACTTTGGTGAGGTCTTTGAGGCCAAGACCCATTCGTTTTAAAGTTTCGGAGTACATCACCTCCGAGGAACTTCCAGAGTCTATCAAAATCCTTTTGACATCGAATTTTCCTATCCTCAGGGTCAAGACAAGGGCGTCGTTATGAGGAGTCACTACGCCTGTCAAATCTGTCGTCGGAGAATGTAATGCCAAGCTCACCCGTCCTGGCCCTTTTACTTGGTGGCCCTACATCAACCTCGGCTACCTTCATCGTAAAAGCTACCCTCTTGAGGTCGGACTCGAGTTCCTTGGACGTGGGGCGATCCAGGGGACATATATGGATGACATCTATGATGTTGTCCGGCTCCTCGGTCGGGGCAAGGGCATGTCTCTCTTCTGGCCTGGGCTCTATGTACTCTTTCAAATATCCGTCTCGGACCAATCTTCCCAAGAACGATTTGAACACCCGGCAGCTTTCGATGCGATGCCCGAAATCCCGGTGATAGGAACACCTAACCTTTTGATTACGGGTGGAGGGGTCGCTCTACATCCTAGGCGGCCATTTGAAGAACGGCTCGTGCTTGATTTTATGGAGCAACTTGAAGATGGGTTCCTTGAACACAGTGTGAACTCCTTTGGACGAACCCCCTGGAGGGGGTAGCAATCCCTTTCGGGGAATATCTTCCCGCTCCTTCTCTTTTCTCTTAGATTGGAGGGCTCGGCCTTTGCTGCTTCCCATCTCGTCCTCAATCCTCGAGTATTTGTTTATCCGGGCCATTAGTTCCCCCATATCCGAGGGGGTCTTCTTGGTCAGGGATCGGTACAGGTCCGTGTCCCTTGCCAAGCCGAGCCGGAAAGATGCTGCTGCCATGACCTCCGAGCAGCCTTCTACCTCATTAACCTCTTCCCAGTATCGGATGGCGTACTGGCGAAGAGTCTCGGATTCCCTCCGTCTGAGGGTCAGCAATGATCCAATGTCTTTGGGGCGCTTACTCCCCGTAATGAATCGAGCCAGGAACTGCTTAGTCAATTCCTTCCAGGACCCAATACTGTTGGGGGAAGCGCCTCGAACCACTTCATCGCAGAGTCCCCCAAGCTCATAGGAAACACTCGGCAGAGAAACCGTTGGTCCGAATGATAGAGGGACATCATCTGCTTGTATTGCCTGACATGGGCTTCGGGATCGGACCGCCCGTCATAAGTTTTGAACCGCGGCACGACAAACTTTCTTGAAACCTCCATCTCACCGATCTCCCTCGTAAAGGGTGTTTGTATGACTTCGTCCTCGGCCTCATCCTGGACAGCCTTACCCTTTCTCTTGGAGTCTAACCGGGCTCTGAGATCAATTTCTTCCCTGACGGGATGCCTTCTGAAGTCCTTGAGTTCATCGGTAAGCCCCTCATTTCCTGGGCGTCGTGTGGATTGGGTTGAGTCCTCCTCGGATTCATCTCCCTTCCTCCGTCTAGACAAACCTCGCCGGAGGTCGTCCAGGGCCAATGGCCTTGCTTTCCTTGAATGGTTGTCATGATGATGCTCGCCGGCTCTGGGTCGCTTTGGGGCCCTAGAGCTTTCTGCTTTGTTGTTTAGGTGGTTTCTTAGATCCTTCGTTTCCGCCTCCCGGACGGGAAGCCCACGAGAAAGGAATGAATCCCTCGACCCTTCGCCAGAGGCGGCAAACTCGTTGAGCCGGCTTAGGACGTTTACATTGTCCTTTTCCAGCTGTCGTAATCTATTGCCGAACTTTTCTTCAATCACCTCCGCCAGCTGACGAGCCAAGGGGGCTGATCCCCCTGACCTGATTCCCATACTGGTTTGAGGGGTAACCCCTCTTGACCGAGTAGAGGCACTTTTATTCATATCGGTGTGATCCCTTCCTCCGTGATGACAGGGAGCTTGTAACTCGAGACTCCTTTGGTGGGGCCTTTCCCTTTCTGTCGAGTGTTCACCATGGTCACTGTTCTTTATAGAGAAAAAACTAGGAAAACTAGTCGTTTCCCACAGACGGCGCCAGATTGTGCGTGCAAGATCCTGCACAATATAAAAAAGAGAACAGATCTCTCCCTTGGTGAACTCGAGTGAGCCAGTTGAGTGACCAACCACGCTGCTTGGAACAGCCTGCGAGGTCCGGTGGTAACCTGGAACGGCAACGGGAGACCCTGGGGGAGCGGAAGAACGATCCAGTAAGGCTGAAAGAGGTTCTGGAACAAAGAAGAACAAGTTAGAAGGGCGCCGGAGTGTTTTCCGGCGTATCCCCTCCGACGATCTAGTCAGTCTTTGAGAAAGAGAGAGGAAGGAGAAAACACTGAGTGTGTATTGTAGTAAAGAGTTTTTTGTTGCATACCCGTCTTGCCTTTTGCAAGGAGTATTTATACCTCAAAAGCTCATGATTGCTGTCAGTGTAGTCAGTAGGTGATCATTAGGTACAGGCAGTGTGCGCACTGATTCTGATGAGGAATGTCTTCTCTTCTTAACTGCTCGGGGTCCCGAGCAATCAATGCTGCGTCATCGGGATGCCGACGGTACAATGTACTCCTCTCGGGGAGGATGCAATAAATGCTCTGTATTAGGAGCATTTATTGCCTTTCATTTCCGAGCCTTACCGCATTGAATGCGGTCTCATCAAGGGAATGGTGTAATTAATCGTTTGCTTTCCCAAGTCGCGTGTCAGCAACGACATGCGGTTTCTCTGTCTTCGATGTGATATCATATGCCACGCGTCCATCCCCCATTGGCTGTGGCCCCTGCCTTCCAGTACGTTCTGACACTAATTGTGTAAGACGAGGTCATGATGAATAGCCTAGGCTAATGACCTGTACGTCAATAGCTTATCCTGGAGTAGAGGAAGCGTCCAGGACGGGGGTACCTCTCGCACCGAGGAAAGGCTCATCTCGGAACCGAGAGAGGTATACCGACCGAGGTACCATATCAGACCGAGGTTATGTGTTGGTTGTAACTTGTACTGAAATGCCATGATCCTATATGACGAGTACCTCGGGGGCGAGGACCTTTATGCGCCGATGGTGCTTGATCTTAGTAACAGTATTTTGGCAAATACCGAGAACACGTGTCTTCATCATGGAGTATTTCAGAAAAGTCCCATCACTTTCTTATCTCTCTTTCTCTACATCTTTGTAACTCTAATATTATTTTTTCTATTTCAAAAACTTCAATTATGTGTAAAGCCACACAAACGAACTTGTCAAATGCATATATGTTCATCTACAAAAACTCACCGTATTATTATATCCATGTAGTTTTTTTTTTTTGAAGTTAATCTCCATTTAGTTCATGCTAAATGTATTCCAGACTCTCATTTTGACTGATGATTGCTTTGTCTTCTTATTATAATATGCAAATATCACCTCGGATCAGGTTTCATAATTCTTTGGAATGTTATGAGGTGGGGGGAGACTCTTTTCTAAGTAGCTTTCACATAACGTTCTCAATTTCCTATTGCTACTACCATAAGACTGGTTGTGGATTCCCGAAATACTTTTCATGAACTGCATGTATTTTGCCTTTGCTTTGGATTAACAAGGCCAAAACTCAAGTTTTTGTTACAACCCAATGACTTGAAAAGTTAATCACTGTCCTATGCGAGACATATAAAGATATATCGTTGTTTTAGTGCTGCCAGTTGGTATTCCATTGTCTCGCTGTTTCAGTGATGCCATTTGGTATTCCATTGTCTCGCTGTTCCTGTGGACTATCATATATAATCTTGATGTCCGTGTGCAAGTGTGAATGTAGAGTTCAAGCTGCCCAAATATTTAGAAGAGAAAAATCAAACCTCAACAACTAGCTTAATCTATATAGCGTCCTGTCCTCACATCAACTGTTGATGGAAAAGTGGAATCATCCGCACCATGCAAAATCGTTAGAAGAAGTTGACAAACATGACAAGGCTCGCCAAGATAAATAAAAAGTTCAACCACATCTGCAGCTTGCGGGCAAACCTGTCAGGGTATCAATACATAATCGACAATAATAGAAATGACAGCAGTTGCTCAATATAAACAATGCAACAAAGTGATTCAACCAGGAATGACCATTTTTGGGTTGCAATAAGATACATTTCATGATGCAATGACAGATTATAAGTACCCAGATTTGGTCTTTTCTCTTAAAATTTAGAAGGCTGGCTCCCCCATCAGAACTTGGAAACATGTTGGCAACCGGCTTGAGAAAACAACCAGATGGTCAAGAGGGAACCTGTCAAAATCCGCATGAATTATTAGATGACTTAACATTGCAGCGTAACACATAAATTATGGATAGGCATTGGTCTTTAAATTAGTGATTGTTTCAGGACAGGGATAACAATATTTATTTAACAATCATAATTTATCCATTCGCCATATATTTAAAGCATATTGATAATTGAGTCAAAACAGCAGCACCCTTCAGAAGTGTCTAAAAGAAAAGGAGAGGATGCAACTAAGGATAAGGGCTTTACTGGCACAAGTTGGATGATGGTTGGCCCCCTTGGGACTCTGCAGATCAAGGTTTGAATCATGTCTATTTTTAAGTTTTTTTCTTATTTTTGATCTTATAAGCTAAGGAAACATTTTATACAAGTTTTGTGATGTTTGAATCATGAATCCAACCCATAATGTCTTTTCAGTCTACAAGTCTTATTTGTTATGCTCCTGGGTCCTCATTTATTCTCCATACGAAACAATATCCGATAAAAGGTGGACAAGATAGGATGCACAGATACTCCTCGGGGGGTCGATGTGGCGGTGTCAAACACGTGTCCGACACAAATACACGTGGGACACGGCCGGACACATGTCTAACACGTCCACAAGTGTCATGAACAGTGAAGAACCATTTGTTGTGGATGGATATGGCTCGAATACAAGGTTGATACGGTGGAATACGGCCACAATCATGGATCTATGTTGAAGCCAAAAAAAGAAAGGGAGGGGGGCAAGAAGGCGATACAGACCTGATCGGCCGCAGATCTCTTCCTCTTCGAGGAGGTATGTCGTCTTCATATCTCTCTTTGACAACTCTCTCTCTCTCGACCTACAACTCTGCGATTTCTATCGACCTGCGTGTTGGTTCCTGTGGCTTGCCCTAGTTGCTGAAAAGCAACATAGCAACGTCTTTTTCTTCTTTTTTTTCTTTTCGGCAAGGGCTTGCCCTAATTGCTTTATTGCCCCGATTATTTTCTTTTCTTTTTTTCTTTGCCCTAGTTGCTAAATTATAATTTACAAATAACCCTTGAACTTCTTATATTTTATGTTAAATTACAATAATACTTTATTAGTTGTCATCCACTACTCAATTTGGTTTAGCCCACTACTCATAATATATTAGCCCACTAATCAAAATTAATATTAGATTATTTGTTCAATTATAAAATATTAATTAATTATTCAATTTTATTATTAATGTTATTATATATATAAAATTATATTATATTATTTTAATTAGTCGTATCCTCGTCGTATGGCCCGTACCCGTGTCCTATATTTTGAAATTTTGTCGTATCTCTGTGTCTATATCGTATCTCATACAACAAGTCAACAACCATGTCCGTATCCGTGCTTCCTTGTAGACGAGTAATCAAACTATATTACATACAAAACAAGAAGCAATAGAACCAACTCAAATAATTTGCTCCAAGAGAATAACGTGGTAGAACAATGTAGAAATAAATGGTTCAGAGTCTCACAACTTACTGTACCCATAGCACACCATTGTGGACAAAGATAAAAGGTAATGCCTCCTCCTTTGGAGCATGTCATAAGTATTGATCTTACCATGAGCAATCACCCGTGCACAAACTTGCACTTTCAAGGGCATCTTAACCATACGAATCTTCAATGTCGGGTAAAAAAGAGGAATTGAAGGATCATCAATCAAAACTTCAAAGGATTACTCACATAAGTAGGACCCCGATGGGTCAAATGACCCAACATCTTTTGTCTAAAGAATCTTGATTCAAAGTGATTGAATTAAGCAAGGAGAGAAATGACACTAATTCCAAAGAGTCTCTATATTTAGATTCCTACGAAACCCAAATAGGAGAGGAATCAGATCTGGCCAAAGAAGCAACATTATGATCAAGAAAACAAGAAAGTCAAAATAACCGAGGGAATGAACTTGAGAACGACAACTCCCCAACCCAAATATCCTCCCAAAATCAAACTCTCACCCCATTACACACGATGAACTTGACCTTCTGAGAAAAGTAAGGTAATCCCTAAGAAATAAATTTCCCCGAATTTCAATAGGTTATCCTAATAATCCTTTAGCATCTCACCCATTAGCCTGCAAGTCATACCTTTTTTCAATAATCGACAGCCATAATGAATTTTGCTCCAAAGAAAATCTCAAAAGCCATTTTTCTACCAAGGCTCTATTTCTAGCCATTAAATTTCTCACTAAAAGTCCACCCTTAACTTTTGGTCTCGACACTGTTAAGTTTGTATTTATATTTATATTAACAAGGGTAGTCTTTTCTTTCTTATGGGGTTTCATATATATTATTTCTTGTACCCAATTTTAGTTATTATGAAATATTAGAATAAGCAAGTAGATTTCTTTTCTCTATTCTACTATGGGATCTAAATTCTCATGGTATTAGAGTCAGTTAATGGTTTCTCTTTGACATTCGGATATCATTCTTGTCTTCTCGTTGCTGTCTTCATCAATGCTTGCACCGTTAGGAAATTTCATCATTGCTGCTCATCGAAACAATCATGATTGCCCGAAAGAGCTTCAGAAATAAGCTGTGATTCATTGTTGATTTGGATCTTTGTTGATGCTTTTGAGGGTTCTGAAACCAGGGTTTCAGACTCGATCTAACCACGAAAGACAACTGTTGTAGGCCAGGGTTTGAAAAATAAAAACTAGAGCAGTTGCAAGGAAGAGGAAGGCTTCCAATTCAGCATTGTCATTGTGCCGTCGTGACTACCGCTAGGGTTTGCAATTGTTGCTATATGAATGAAGCAAAGAAGACCCATCTGTTACTGGGTTTTAAAATTTTTCTGATCTTACCAGAAGACCTGACTTGATCCAAATTCCCTATAAATTACAGAATCAGCCCCAAGTAGTCTGAAATTTTAGCCGAGCCCAGAATTTTCTAAAATTCCAGATTTTACCTTAATATTTACAGATATTACATATCTAAGTTGTCTGAAATTTCAGAATAGTCCCAGCATTTGCTGAAATTTCAGAATAGTCCCAAAAATTATAGAAATTACAAAATCAACCCCTAAATTTTCTGAAGTTTCAAAATAGCCCCAGCATTTCAACAAAATTTCGAAAATTGCAGAATCTTTTTGAGCAAGCCAAGGATATGGCAGGTGGATATTTAGTTACATCCCCAGTAGATGACCTTTTTGACTTTTAGTGCTGAGCAATTGTAGAAACTTCTTTCTATACATAAACCTAATGTGCCCAGATGCTTCTCCTATAGGTATGTCTTTATCAACTCCTTCAAGTATATCGCGCTCCACTAAGGTGTTTGATTCAAGTGCTACACATCATATGACCAATAAGTCATCCTTGTTTCTTTCTACCTCGTCTCCCCCTTCCCCTTCTATTATTCTAGTTGCCAATGGGACTTTTACGTGAAATGGTAGGCATTGGATATGGTATGACTTCACTTTTTTCTCTTTTTGATGTTTATTATATCCCTCCACTATCCTTGAACTTGATTTCCATCAGCCAACTTTGTGGTCTTGGTTATATTGTTCAATTCTTTTTCACTATTTGAATTGTGCAAAGTCCTTACTCCAAAAAGCTGATTGAGACATGATGTAGAGTTGGGGGTCTGTATGTTCCAGAGAAATTGCATGTTCCTGTTGTGGCTACTTCTTCAATTGACTTTTATTCTTTTCATTTAAACCCTAAGTCGTTCATGTTTTATTTATGGCATTATCGTCTTGGACATATTTCTAATTCTCATCAGAAGTTTGTATTTTCTGCAGGTGCATTGAAAATTTTAAATAGTCATAATATTTCTGATTTTAGGGGTTGTAAACTTGCAAATTTATAGTTTTACCTTTTATGTCTAGTGTCACTTTTGATCTTGTACACTCTGATGTGTGGGGTCCTGCCCGTAGATACCTTATCGTCCCACAAACTAGGGTCGCCCAACCCAAAATAGGGTTGATTTGCAATCCAGATCGTTTAAATTCTTAATCCCAAATTGTAACTCAAAGCCAAAAATAAATACTTGTTAATTATGTGTATATGAATGTATAATTATATGTAATCTCATATAATAGAAAAATCAATCCTCTATAAAACGAACCACAACTCAAAACAACATACCCACAAAATATATCCTCATCATACCATGTATCGAAAGATGTACCGTACCGCATACTTGTACTTGTACTACATACCATATTGACCCACTATCCAAGTAACATAGGTCCTGCCCCGATTACAATTAAAGGGGGATCTCAGTATTATGTTTCCTTTATTAAAATTATGCTCAATATTGTTGAATTTATCTCAGGAAACAACGATCTGAATTATTCTCAATTTTTTTCGTACTACCATGATTCAAACGCAATATTTTCCAGTTATTAAATATTTTGGTGTGATCTGGATTGGGAATACAGATATAAAGGCTTTGTTGACTTATTGAAATTTGATGAAACTTTTCAACAGCTTTCTTATGAAGACACTCCTGAGCAAAATAGTGTGGCTGAGTGAAAGTACAGACAATTATGGAAACTGCTCAATCATTTTTTTAACTACATCTATGCCTAGATCTATTTGGGGAGAGGCGGTTCTTACTAATGTTTACCTGATTAATCGAATAACCTCTATTGTTATTCGAGTGTTTCTCCATTTGAATGATTATGATGCAAACTAAGAAGGAACAACTTGGGGTTTGGAAAGATAGGAGCAGTTGGCACTTATCTCATTCCTTTCAAAAGTCAGGAATGTAGAGCCAAGTAAGAAGTTACAGAAAAGGTCATCCCTTACTCCATTCCTACACGGATACGAACACTGGGATTGATGTTTTGCTTAACATTATTGAGTTATTAAATAGTTTCTTTTGGCTTCCCAAACTTGAGGAGTGGTGAATTAGAGCTAGGACACCCTCGCTCAACCCTTATCATAAGGTGCTAAAGTGTCAAGAGGAGGAAGGGAGTGTTTTCGCTCGTGCTTACAAACCTTTTAAATACGTTGTC